AATATTATGCAAGATGACATGCATCTTTTGAACTTAATATAATAAGTTTTATTTATAAACAGTTTTCATATGTAGCGTTGAATTTTGAATTATTCGTAGAACCACGCCACCTTTAAAAAAGTTGTGTAGGACAAAGAAATTCGAAAATTGAAAAAAAAAAAGAAAAAGAACCTAATGATTTTACTCAATATGAAGTGAATTTTATTGAGCTTTTGGATCATATATCCCGAGATAACCTCCCCTATTTATATGTTCTTGAACAGCCTGAAATACATGCACTCTCTAATCTACAACCCATAATATAAAAAAAATATTGTTTAAAATAAAACTAAAATAGCGGGCATGTAGCGATATGGCGGTATAAGTTAGCCAAACTAGTTCGCTAAATTGATTGACCGCATTGATCCACCAAATACGAGCCAAACTTATTCATTGAACTGGTCAGTCAAACAAGATCATCAAATTGACCAAACCAAACCACCAATTGAGTTATCTAATCGAATTGCTCATCCACACACTTGCTGACTTCATCCATTAAACCAAAAGTCAAACCAAACCATTGGAATGGTAGCTAGAAATCTTCTCCATATTTAATTTGAGTTTGTTCCGGAAGAATCTGATCCAGAAGGAAAGCACATTCTTCCACTCTCCTTTCTGAATATTGCACATTGGGTGCTCATCATGACTTAATTTTTAACCCCAGCGGAATATTTAGCCCATAAAAAAAAAAAAAAAAAAAATTATGGGCGACTTCGCATGGGAAAAAGCATGGGGTCGGAGCCGCAAAGATTGACGTTGGAGCCGAAAGTACGGGTTCGCGCTCCTTTATGCACCGATTCGTAAAGCATTCCACGTCTCCCGAGTTCAGTGGGGCCCACAAGCCGCTACCAATTATGCTTCCCATCCATCCATCCATCCATCCATCCATCAACCATTCCACGCTTTTTTCCTGATTCCACGTCAGCCATATTTAGGGTCCCACGCACGAAGGATTCTTCGTCGGCCACGTGGACGTACGCGTGCTGCCATAAGTCTCCCCGCTTTGTTCTGTCGACTCGCGTGGATAAAGCTTTAACCTTAAAAAGCGAATGATGCGTCTGGAGTAGCGGTGGAAGATATTGAGTAGATTTATCCGCATAAATAAATGTCGGTCTGGGATGAAATTCTTATAGAATTTTTATGATAATATCAATTTGGATAAGGACGATACCTTGCACATTTATTTACGTACATGATACGTATGCTATGCCTACATGCATGATTGAATGCACTAGTAACCAATTGGTTGATTTTCTGCTAAGTTATAGATGATACGTATGCTATGCCTACATGCATGATTGAATGCACTAGTAACCAATTATATATATACTTCCCAAGGCTTTCTTAGGAGGTTGAACCTAAGAGAATTTCATAACTAAAAAAAAACTGATAATAAGACTGTCCTGATTTTAATCTGATACAAAATTATGTTTAATCCAAATATGACTTGAAGATATGAAGATATGGAGAGTTGGACCGGCGAGAGAATCAAAGAGAGTCATTAAGAATAAGATTTAGAGAATATCAACACAAGTTTTTACAGAGTAAATTTCGAAGTTATTTATTGAGGAAATGATCACTTATTTATAGGTCTCAGACATATCTAATATAAATTACATGTTTGTTCCGATTTTAATAGAAACGTTACAATTTATTGTGACATATTTTCATATTTGAAACTGACTTTGGTACGATATCATATACTTAGCTGAAGTTGGCATCATTTGATATCCATAATTGCTTGAGGAGGGGCATTTAATGATCTGTTACCCGTGTCAGTCGATCAGTTTAAACCTTTGGTCGGCAAGCATATGCTCGGTTATGGTTGATTGTCCATTGGATTAGGTGACACATATTCTTTTGTTCGGTTGTGCTTTCCTTCAGTCAACCCATAGTTTAATATTTTGATGTACAAATTGGAAATAAAATCTTTAAATAATTAATTTTTTTAAAAAAATCGGTATATTTCAAAGATCAACTAATTAGAATTAAGTTAAATGCGCAGGGCAAGTTTAAACGTATTACACACGAAAGTGGGAGTCAACAAATGGCTTGTTCAACGAAGAATGAAGCCTGCATGGCTAACCTATCTGATTTTATGAAATGGGTAAGTATGTACGGCGTTGTTATGGAACACGTGTTTGCGCGGGAGTGTTTGCTGTCATGGGTGGGAAACCGGGATCCTGACGAATTCAACGGCGGTGCGCCGGCCAAGTGTTTCCGCGTTGGGGCACGCTGAGTGGGTTGGCAGAAAAGCGTAAAACAATAGGCAGTTCATGAACCCAAATTCACATTCCATCTATTTATCACGCATCATGCTTCATGAGCAGCCCCATCCTCTCTCTCTCTCTCTCTCTCTCTCTCTCTCTCTCTCTCTCTCTCTCTCTCTCTTCCCTTCTCACTCCCTGTGTTGCTGCAATGCAAAAAAAGGTTTGTAATTTTCTCAAATAAAACCTATGTCATCACGGAGTAACTTTATTTTCCATCAAGGCAGAAGTATGTGGGACAAAATCGTTCTCTCTCTCTCTCTCTCTCTCTCTCTCTCTCTCTCTCTCTCATCTGCCAAGCAACTGTTGTAAGATACTGCTGGTTGACTTAAGCCATTAAAACTGAACCATAGCCACTTTGAACACTCTTAGGGCAAATTATATTACGTCCACCTTACTTCGGCTTAAAGTTTATGTGATCTAAGTAGGGCTCTCAAAATAGTTTGTTGTTTGCGAGCAGTTAGCGTTCGGTTCGTTAAGAATGTCTTGCTTGATTTATTCATTAAGTTAACAAGTCAAACGCAAATAATTTTTTTGCTCCCGATAAATAAAAGAGCCGAACAAGAACCAAGATTTGTTCGTTCGTGTTCGGCTCGAAATAATTATATATATCCAGAAGGAAATCCTATATATATATATAATGCAAGGCTACAAAAATTTAATTTTAATTAAGTAAAAAAGTAGAATAAAAATATATTAATTTATATTTAAATGATATTTTAATTACCGTTGAGTGACTAGGGTTGTCAAAAAGACCATTTGTTCTTGAACAGCTCATGTTCGACTCGTTAAACAAACGAGCCGAACACAAACAAATTAATTTTTGTTTAAATACAAACGAGCTGAACACGAACAGTAATATTTTTTAACGAGCCGAACACGACCTAAGCCCTCTTCCTCGTGTTCAGCTCATTTACACCCTTAGATCTAAGAGATGAATTAGATAGAAAGTTATCTTAAACTGAGACACTTAAGCTAATCTCAAATGATAATTAAAAAAGTTAAATTAAAATAAACTTAGCATCAATATTACTCATTAAATTAAACTTTTTATAATCTATTTAACTCAGCATAGATTAAATTATAATTTTGTTTAATAAAGTAAATTTAAATAAAAACAAACCTAAATTTCATTAAATTATATTTATTCACAAATAATTTCTTATAACAGATTAATATTATGTAATCACCCTCAGATAAGAAATTGTAGGCTCATTTTACTTCAGTTCATTTACCCAAAAGTTATTTGCTTTTGGAGAAAATTGTTCATCTTAGGCTGCAACACCCTTTATTTTTCTAAAACCAAAACGATTGTCGGATCAAATAAATTTCATTAGAGTGATGGATTATACAAAGATACCTTGCTTGAAGTTCTAAGTGAGTCTAGGTTCCTGCAGCTTATAAAAGAGTTAATCCTTGTAGCATACAAGTAAAACTCATGAAGAATTAATCCTTGTAGTAGCAGCAGAAATAAGAAGAAAAAACACAAAACTCTAGTTGATTAGGGTCCCTGTAAAGTGAAATAAACAGTAATTATTGAATTATGCTAGGGAAATTTGATTGCAAAAACAGCAATTGTTGAAAAGAGATGTTGATCTTACTAATCTTGAGATCTACTTTGTGGCTGGTGAACCTTCTCAATGGGACTGACTTTTAAAGAGTCTCCATTTTATTTGGTCATCCTTCTTTGGCTTTGTTCACACACACATATTTATAAAATTTAGTTTATTCACCACTCTCAGCTCAGAATGAGCATAATTAAACGAATCACAACCTCTAGAAAAAGCATTAGTTTAATGAAATAGATGTAGTAGAATAGGCTATAAGAATTTGATGATTGGGGCTTGGGTAAAAGTATCATCTTACCAAGGATGAATCAATATGTTTTAATATGGTGTTGAGAGTATTTTAGGAAACTAAGGCTTCTTTTGAAAAGGTTTTCAAGTTCATATTGGGAAAATATGTGTTTGGCAATGGAGAGTTTTGGGAATGTCCCCGGATGTTGTGTTGGAAGAATGTTAAGAAAATTACCATTTCAAAATGGAAATACGCAATCTCATTTTACGACAGAACTATTGAAAGAGTTTCACCTTTTGGCGAAGCTCTTTCAATCAGAGCCTAAGGAGTAGCTTGTTTCCTGTAAAATTTAGGTTGGATTTAGCATATCCAGCCAAATGGAAAAATTTGTGCTCATTAAACTTGATGACGCATTCAGACTTTTTTTTTGCCTATTGTACTAAGTCCATAGAATTGGTCAATTTAATGGATTTAGTTGAAATGAAGAGGGAACTCCGGCAGTTGTTCTACTTCTTCGAAGAGACCGAGAGCAAAAGTTAACTTCAACCGTACTTAACTTCAACCGTACAAAAAAAAAAATTGGATTCATCTACCTCATGTTCTACAAAATCCAAATTACAAGATTTATTAAGTCCAATTTAATCTAAATATGCTTGCAGCCAAAAAAACCCTAGCTTTCATATGAGAGCTTCCTAGAGATTGTGTGGGAACTGGAAGAAAAACCTCAATATTAATGAAATAATCCAAAAGAGTTGTTTTCATTGCTCAAAGGGTCAATGAAAACAACCAAGAAGAAACTTGAATATGAATAAGAGCATATCAAATTTAGCTTTTCCTAAATAAATTTAATTAAAAATCAAGCATGCAATTATCATAATCCCAAATCTAATAGCCTACTAACATAAGCCTCAATCAAATACACCCCATTATTTACCCCCAAAGAGTGTTAGAAGTACATATAACATGATTATATACTAAAACATGCATAAACAACCAAAATATATATATTTACTTACCTCTTGATCTCAGTTAATAAATCTGATATCCATTGCAAAATTAACAATACTCACTCTCACCCGTCACACATTACTCAAAATTTCAAATTTACCTTTTTACCTCCCGCTATCCCTACCACCACCTTCATCCTCCTTCGCCCAACAACCAGAACCAGATTCCTTGCTTCCAAAATTCAGCATCAAGTTTGGCCTCGCAGAACTTTCCATCCCTGACAATCCTGCAAACGAAATCGAGGATGATGAAGTCTGTGCAATTGCAGAAGAAGACTCCAACGTGAAAACCTCTCTACCATTCTGATGATCTTCATCTCCACTCTGGAGAATCTGAGCATACTGCAGTAAATCCGGGTATAGAGATGGCTGCAATGTGGCAACTTGCTTCGGCCTCCTCGCCGGAATCCCTCGACTCACCACGAACCCTAGCTCAGTCCGGCCTTGGACTCTCTCCGGAAAGTTGAGCTTAGCTTTAGTTCCCTTGAACTGGAGTGCAGCCTGATCGTAAGCGATTGCAGCTCCCTCTGCTGTGTCATATGTCCCCAGCCACACCCTTGCAGCCTTCTTCGGATCTCTAATTTCTGCTGCCCATTTTCCCCACGGCCTTTGCCTCACTCCTCTATATTGTCTTCTCCTCTCGTTTCCTTCATCCACATATAAATAATATATATCAAAAAACTATACGGAGCAATTCCTTATATGAGATGCAGTATAGATTGTATTAAAAATATATATCAATTTAAGGATTACAATTCTCATTCCTCCTAAAATCTTAGGAATTTGTTGATAGTTGGAATATAGTCTTTCTATGTCGTGAGGTTGAAACCAGTATTTTTTTTTTTATTTTCTTGATGTTTTTGAACGTTTTCAATAAAATCTTCTCATAAAATTATTTTCCCAATGTTTTTAGTGATATCAGTATATATCGTTTTAACTCTTCTCTTCTGATCTATGTCAGCATTTCTCATAGAAGTTATTATATCGAAAATGATATCCCTTACCATACTCATGATGAACTATAGTTAAAATAAGCTTTTTTTAAGATAGCATTCATGAAAAGATAAAAGTCCGCACAAGATTATCTGCAGATGATACTTGATTCGATTGAGAATTAACAAACATTAGGGATTATAGTAGAATGAGACAAAATTATCAAATCTATGCATAAATTTAGTTCATTTCATACGATCCATAAAAAAAATTATAAAATTAAAAAAGGAGCTATGCGCGCAATATGACAAAAACAGCTAGATTTCATCGGCCGATTATATAGTAATTCACCTAATACTAGCATGCGATCAGCTCACCTAACGCAAGAAATTGTCCAAGAATTCATTAAAAACGTCATCAGGATAAATTATTATAAAATTAGGGTTTCAAGTTTCAAGGAGAAACAACCAAAGCAAGGGTTTTTATGAAGAATCTCTACCTTGTTCATCCGAAGGCTGGTTGGGATCCCTCACCGTCGACCCACCACTGGCCGCCGCCGGAGAAGTTGCTGCCTGGCTTTGTTCTTCGCCGGAAGTGGAGCCGCCGGCGATAACGTGAGCTAGGGCAGAAACCATGGCTGAAGTGTCGTGGTCTGCACGTGAGGAAGTGTAGTGTGTAGACATGTGTTGGCCTTCTATCTCTTTCTCTTCCTTTGCCGTCGTAGAAAGTGGCCTCTTCCCATGCCTTCGATCCACTTTCGCTTTCTTTCTGCCCCCGGTTTCCGTTCACCAAAGGAGAAGAGAGAAAGTAGAGGGTCTAGAAGTGTTTGAATATGTCCGGATGTTTGGCTGTTTTTATGGTCTAGCTAGGAGTTGGTCGCATTTGGGCGTATGTGTGCTTTGCGTTTACATTTTTTATTGGTGTTTTTTGGACTTTGTAAGCGGATGATTTTGCAAATTTCCTCAGCTGTTTAGAGATTTAGCTTGTTTTACCAATATTACGTCAGGACTCTACGAACGTAGAGATACGTTCGAATTCTAATAGTCGTTGTGTTATAGGAATATCCCGCTATGTTACATGAATTTTCCATCAGCGTTATTTCTAAAAAATGAAGTGTTATTCGAGTATTATGTGGTGTTGTTTGATTACTTTGCAGCGTTATTGAAATATTCCCTCTCGTTACTTGATTTGTGGTTGTATTATTTAGCATATTCCCGTGTTATTTCTATTCTTACAATATTATTGGAATAACACAGCTACAAATCAAGTAACGCAAGGAAATATTTTAATAATACTTTATTTCCATAAATAACACTGATGGAATATTTCTATAACACAACCACTATTGAAATCCGAACGTACCTTTATGTTTGGAGTCCTGACGTAATATTTTTTCATCCTTTAGCATTTTTTTTTCTCTAATAGGATATAATTTGGCAACGTGTGCATGCTTTGATGTTATTAACTTTGCCTTTTTTAATATGTATTATTTTCATTTGATTTTGATTTCTTTTGGTCAAAGCACATTCATTCCCCTTCAGTGCAATTGGTCATCGTTGTTTTATTTTGCGGAAGTTGGGGCCCTTGTGATTGGATTAGGACCATGATTTGTTTAAGGATATAATATTTTATTGTTTATAATCGTTATTCTTTGCATGTCAAGCCAAAGTGTAATAATTTGGAATTTTTTTCCTTTGGTTTATTTACTAATGAATGACATCAGGTGACGCTGAGTCTACAAAATTGAAACAAAGAGTGGAATGGCTGAAGGAGACTTTATATTCTGTAAAAGGAATACAGGTTTACAGGAAAGTACAGATGACTTGAGGCGTGGGTGAGTATAGAAAACGAGTGCAAAGACTAAAAGGGTTGAAGAAAACTTTACTTTCTGTAAATTATATATAGTTTAAATGAAGTATGGTGGGATGTATATATAGGCGCCACGTATACATAAGGTTGTTGGGAGAGCAAAGGATCCTATAGTACATGCACTTTGTACTAATACCTGGCTAATGGATGGATGTGAGACAATATATATAATGATTATGCATGGGTAGCAGTTTGTTATTATTTGGAGTGATTATTCTAGACTATGTTATCATCTTGGATCACTGCAGGTTGGAAGTCTGTCTTTAAGTAGCAACTTGTCATGAGTATGGACGAATAAGTTCGTTGGCATTGACTTGGTGAAGATGTTAGGTATTTCATACTGAGTGAAATTGTGTTGAAATGTGATGTAATTGGATTCACTCCCATCCCTGATGAAATAATAATCAACTTCGATATGATTTGTTCAAGTGTAGAGCAAAACATTTGTGAGAGCTAGTACTGAGATGTTGTCGCAATGCCCATTAGGTAAGTGTTTTAAGATCTTGGTGAAAGTTTGATAGGAGACTACGGAGCAAGATATTCTCGGTGGATGCTATGACAAGAGCCCAATATCCAACTTTTGTTGAAGATTAGGGAAAAGTTGGTCATTTCCTAACATATATTAGAAGATGATGGTGTATGCATGTGCATGTATATTGCAACTTTAATCCTGAGGCAGCTTTGGCTCAAAGTTGTGGTTTATGAAAAAGTAAGGAAAAATATTTTGAGGTCCCTTCTTGAAAGATTAGAGGGAGAAAGCTAATTTTTATTGATTATGTGTATGGTTTGGAATATTAGAGGCATTGATGATATCAATACCTATAATAAACTTGTTAATATAATTAAATCTCATAAGTTAGTCTTCTTTGGTCTTTTTGGACCTTTGGTTGCTTCTCATAATAATGGGAAGTATTTGAAGATTTTCAAGAAGTTCAATTATTTTACATCTATTTGGCTAGGTAGACATTGATTGTTTATTCTCTTCATAAAAAACTAAACCGAAGCAAAATTGGGATTTTTTGAGCTATGCCTTTGTCCAAGATGTAAGGCTTCAATTAGATGGGTTGAGAAGCTCGACCTTGATCCCACAAACCTCCTCCAAGTGTTGATTTACTCAGTGGATGGGTCTTGGTATGATCTAGACCAAATGGTGGAATAGTTGTGGTATAAGGCTATGATAGAGGGCTCGGGAAAGGGGGCTTTTGATTGGGAAAGTGATTTTAGGTTATGGGGAAGCTTTTGAAAGGACTAGTTTGGAGTACTAGGGAGTTTAGTGGATTGTCAAAAAAAAGTCCTAGTTTTGAGCTTTTAAATTAGGGTTTTCTCAGTGGGGAAGAAGAGCGAAAAAATGATTGGGATGAGCTTTGTATGAGTGTAATGGAAGTTTGGAAAGATTTTGATAGAGTTTCCCCAAGGCTGTGTGCTTCAACCCTATGTCCATGAGGGGATTGTGTATTTATACTCCAAGAAGTAAGGTTTCATTTGACTGGCCGGTGGGGGGAGAATTGTGCTTATGTGGAGGGAAAATAGTGGCCCAATGGGAGTGAGCCACGTTAGAGGGGTTTAGGTTTTGGCCATGGTTAGCCTTTCAGATTTGGGTTTGTCGGTCGTCGAGGTGGTCAATCGGTCCATGGGCGGTCACTATTCACCTCTGTGAGCTTAGGGGTGGAGAGTTGAGAAGTCAATGGTGTGGTGACAGGGGTCCAAGTGTTGGATTTAAAGGGAACATGGATTGGGTCACTTTTGGGTTTGACTTGGGTTTTACTCATGGGAATGGGTTTGGGTCACTCCCAAGATGGCTTGATCTGGTGGCCAACATGGGGGCTTGGGTGGTCAAATCCCTATCCAAGAGATTATGACTTAATCATGGGTTGGATTGAAGCTTGGGTGTGGTTAAGTACTTTGGGGAAACATGAAAGAGCCTCCTCCTTTAGCCATAAGTGGCAAAGTTGCTTGCATGAGGCTCATGCATGGCTCCTTGGCTTCCCTAGGGCTTGGATGAAGCCATATTGCTTGCCTAAGGCTTGTGCATGACCTACATGGCTTGCATTAAGGAGGTGAAAATTTCAACCCTTTGAAAATATTTTCATTAATCCAACTTTTGGTTGATTAATCATGAAATTTTGGACCTCATGTTTGATTAATTTAATCATATATGGTTGAAATTTATCATGTGGGCTTTTATTTGAAGTGAATTTGGATTTTGGACTTGGTTTAGTGGGCTTTTAGGATGGGTTATGAAGGGTTGATTTTAGGCTCTAATTTGGGCTTTTGATTTAAAGTAAATGGTATTGAAAATTAATCATGGTGAATTTCATGAGGACTTGAATCCATCATGATGATGTTTGGGAATAAATTTGGTGAAATTGGACTTGGCATATGGGTTTAAATTTGTTGAATTTAGGGTATGGGGTGAATTTTTGTGTAGGGTTGCGTATTTTGTTGTTAATGGTTTAGTTGAAGTTCTTCCTTCACTTCATGTTTTAATTAGTTTGAATGACCATCCCTGCAAAATAGATTTAGCACACCCTAATAACATGCAAAGTAAATCTAGAGTGACGTCCACCTTTTGTCTTCAACAGCCTTGCAAAACAGAGTTAACATAAAATGATTTTTTAATTTGTTGAATTAGCTGTTTATTTTTATTTAGGACAACCTGGTCAAGATGTACATGGCTTTCCGTAATTCCAATGTTGTCTGGTTCTTTGATCTATTTATTCTGAGAGGCGATTAACCCTACTCTGACCGTAAGATTCTTGTTAGCAACCATGGGTTGCGTCGTCCAAGACATCTTCGTAGACCCGAGTAGCAAGGTTAAAGTTACCTTAAGTGATCATTGTTCATTAGGGTTTCATTAAAGTTTTTAGTGGCTTAAGACTTATTATCAAATTAGATTTTAATAAATTTTTGCTTCATTTTTTATGTTTGAAATGACTCGATCAAGATCCCATGGTTCCATTCTCTTGGGGTCATTGGGATTTGTGGGTTGATTAGTTACAAGTGACTAGAAGGTACTTTATTAGCATCCATGGGTTTCCACCTTCAAAATACCTTCTCAAACTAGGCTGCATTTTATGGTTAAAGTTTAAGTTTTAGTGATTTTTAGGGTGAATTTTATATTGTATCTTATAGAATGATTTGTATCTTGGCCCAAATTGTCCCTGACTGATGTTATGTGTGCTTTTGTTCTCGTATGAGAAGTCGAACACTTCTTATCTTCAAGTCATCTAAGTCATAGTTGACTTTGGATCGGCCTGAGTTAGGTTGGACTCAACTGGAGTATGTGAGTTGATTTAGGGAAAACCTAAGTTAGGTCGTGTTGACCCGATCATTTGAGTTAATTCAGGTTAACCCAAGTTAGGTTGGATTGACCCAACTATTTCAGTTGATTTTGGTTAACTCTAGTTAGGTCGGGTTGGCCCGATGATTTAGTTCATTTGGGTTAACCCGAGTTAAGTTAGCTTGACGTGGTGCTTTAGTTGATGTAGGTTAACCCAAGTTAGATCTGGTTGACTTGGTGATTTGAGTTGATTTGGGTAATCCAAGTTAGGTCGGGTTGACCTGATGATTTAGTTAATTTGGGTTAACCCAAGTTAGGTTAGGTGACTTGGTCATTTCAATTGATTTAGGTAAATGCAAGTTAGATCGGGTTGAACATGTGATTTAATTGATTTGGGTTAACCCTAGTAAGGTCGGGTTGTCTCGGTGATTTCAGTTGATTAGGGTTAACTCGAGTTAGGTCGAGTTGACCTGATGAACTCTGTTGATTTGGGTTAACCCAGGTTAGGTCATGTTGACCTAGTGATTTCAGTTGATTTGGATTAATCTGAATTAGGTAGGATTAACCTAGTAAATTAGTTGATTTGGAGTCAGAAGGGTTCAAGTTGAACTAAGTTTAAGTTGGATTAGACCTAGAAACGTTCAAGTCATGTTGGGTCTATGTTGTGTTAGACCTAAAAGGGTTTAAGTTGTGCTAGGTCTAAGTTGGATTAGACCAAGGATGGTTTTAGTTGATCTAAGTCTAAGTTGGCTTAGACCTAGAGTGGTCTAGTTGAGCTATGTCTAAGTTGGGTTAGACCTAGATTAAACC